TTTACTTAAAACAAAAACAAAACATTTAATTTATAATTAACTTTAAAAAAAAGACTCTAGGTGAAGTAATAGGAAAAATAGTTGCAGTTCTGTAAATCAAATCAAGAAAGTGCAAACAATGTAAAAAGACATAGTTCTCATGAGCAATATGGACTTCAAACATTTGATACTGATGTTTTTTAGCTCATCTCCAGCTATGTGACTTATTTGTGCTTGGTTTTCTAGAATGATTTTTAATTGTGCTCAGACTGTATCAAAATTGTCTCTGAAATGCCCTAAACTGGTATTAAATAGATTATGGGGGTGTTGCCATTTCTTGTAATATTATGTTTTGAAAGAGAATGAGGGTGTATATGCTTGCAACATACTAATTTCTTAATTATTGCAAAATATTATAGAATCGGGGCAGGCTGAATTGGTGAAGGAAAAGACATAATGAGAATGAGGATGAAAGAGAGTGAAGCTTTCTTTGTCTTGTGACAATCTAGTTCAGTAGTGGCAAATCTTTTAGAGACCAAGTGCCCAAACTGCAACCCAAAACCCACTTATGCATCACTGGGTGCCGGGTGTGCGTGGAGAGCTGCGCATGCGCAGAGGAGGAAACAGCTCAGCCCAGCAATGGCTCGCGTGCCACCAGAGACGGCTCCGTGTGCCGCCTGTGGCATGCGTGCCATCGGTTCACCATCACGGATCTAGTTTGTCTAATCCTGCTTTCCTTAACCTGTGCCCTCTAGATGTTTTGGAATCATAATGCTCTTAAACCTCACTGGCATATTTAAATGGCCAGAATAGACAATAATGAAATGCAGTATTTAGTACTGCACCATGTAGTTGAATAATCAGTTTGACAATATACTTCTGAATTATTTGTATATATATTCATGAAAAGAAAAGGATTGCCCTTCTTTGTAGTGGGAGCTTAATAGAAGCTAGACTATAATTGTTAAAATGTCAGGAAGTTGGAGAATACAATAGTACACGAGCCAAGATTGGTGCTGTGTTCCCCTCTGCTGGCACTGCAGCGGCTGGTTAATTAAGAATTTTATTCCCAAAGCTATGCTAAGAACATTGATATTGCTGGCACCAGCAGCACTAAACCAAAAGATGAACCATTTCTCTTGCATTGAGTAATTGTACTTCTTTGTCGTTAGTTTTTAGTGTAAATGCAGAAAATTATGAAGCAAGCCAAGTTTTACAAGAGTGACCTTTTGCCTGGAAATTGCTTTCTTTGCTTTCTAGATTCCTAACTTCTTGAAAACCCATTTCCATTATTACCAGAATTGTGTCCTTCTTTCACTTCTAAATATTACTTGGAATAAACACATAATAAAAGATTGTAAGTGGGAATTGTGAAAAAGTGATGTTACCCATAGACGTTGCCTGTTTAGTTTTTAGATTAGAAATAATCTCTGTCTCTCAGAATGAAGCAAAATAATGTTCTAGATACAGGAAGATGTTTTAAAGTACATATTACTCACTATATTTCTATCTTGACCTATTGCATAATTTTACAAATAATATGGACTTTTGTAAACAGCTTTGTAAAAAAAATGCATATGTTTATGTGATTGACCTCCAGTTTCTGACACTTTTTTGATGCTTTTTTCAACTTCACTTTTAGGATGCTGGAGAATTCCTTTGAGGTTTTTGAGTTTCTTATTGCAATGTGACAGGATATGGGTGTTTTTCTTGTTACACATACTCCTATCATTCTGCAGCTGGTTAGAGAGTTTGGCCTTTGAAGACAGACACACCATGTTGGACAAGCCTACCCTACACTATGAGAGAATCGGGTCAAATAAATCTTTATCGTAGTCATAGATCAGCATATACCGCAAGACAATTTTTAGAAAGATTGAAAGCACTTTAGTTACAGACCTCCTTGAATGAGAAAGGATGAGTGAGAGTAACTGCTCAGCCTACTGAAGACACCAGACTGACTATTAAACTTTTTTCCCCTTTTACTTGGATATCATATTTTAATGTGCATATATTTTATGAATAAATTTATGAAATATCTTTTTTGCACAACTTCTTCATTAGTTTTGTAAAAAAAGGTGTTGAGACTCTAGAAAGAGCACAGAGAAGAGCAACAAAGATAATTAGAGGACTGGAGACCAAAACATATGAAGAACAGTTGCTGGAATTGGGTATGTCTAGTTTAATGAAGAGAAGGACGAGGGTTGACAGGATAGCAGTGTTCCAATATCTCAGGGGTTGCCACAAGGAAGAGGGACACAAGCTATTCTCCAAAGCATCTGAAGGCAGGACAAGAAGCAATGGATGGAAGCTAATCAAGGAGAGAGAAGCAACCTAGAACTAAGGAGAAATTTCTTGACAGTTAGAACAATCAGTGGAACAACTTGCCTCCATAAGTTGTGAATGCTCCAATACTGGAAGTTTTTAAAAAGAGACTGGACAATCATTTGTCTGAAATGATATAGGGTTTCCTGCCTGAGTAGGGGATTGGACTAGAAGACCTTAAAGATCCCTTTCAACTCTATTATTGTTATTGTTATATTTACAAATTCACGTACTCCTTAATTAAGAAATCACAGTACATTGTGGGATGAATAAATTATATAGGTTTTGTAAATTGTTGATGTACTAATTTTCAGCCCTTCTCAGACATTTTCATTCATTTTTCTATAATCTGAGGTATCCACAGCAACAACTTGAATCAATATAATTAATTATCCTGCAGCTGGCAAGATAGTTTCTAATGCCTCTTCAATTTAGGAGTTTGGGAAAAGGAATTAAGCTGGGATAACCTTCATGTTGATCCTTGAAATTGACCATATCCTCTCTTTTTAATCTGGGGGAGAGAAAGTAAAAAATGTAATATTATATGAGTTTTGTAAAGCTTATCTCTACTACATAACAGTACCTTAAACCTTTTTAACATCATCTAAAATATCAGATTGCATGTTCATATATTAATAATACAAGATAAAAAGGACATTTTTATTTTTGAGCTTAGCATGCAACAACTTAAATGTGACATGTTTTATTGTAACAAAATATTACAAATGTTCTAACCATAAAAAGTGGAAATTCAGAGCAAGCTCTTTGCTCCTGTCTCTTTCATCTTATGGCCCAAAGGATAGATACAATAGTGCTTAATGCACCCTGTAACCAATTGGCTAATTTATCAAAATATCAGTCAGATTACGTTTAAAATGTTTTTGACAGCTTCAGATTTCCAACATGCATTTTTCAATTGATGGTGACAAAGTTTTTTGGAGTAAATATGAGTATACTGTTGATGCGTCTTTAATCTCAAATTTCTTTTTGTGAAAATCGGTGGTTATTAGAAAAATGTGCAGCTCCTTTAAGGAAATATTGACGTGGGTGGGATCTCAGATTTCCTTTAGTTCCACAAGTCTATTCACCTTTTGTTTTCCCTAAAAATAATGCTGAAAGGTAAATGCTTTAATGTTGATTGCTGTTTCAGTCATCCAGGATGCAGGTCTAATCAGCTGATGAAACATGGGTTATGTTTTTGTTTTATTTTCCATTTGCTATTATCTAGGATTAGCTGCCAAAAAGCAAAAGGCTGCAGCTTTATTTCATAGAATAGTTTGTTTCACTTGATTCTGAATGCAAAGGAATAGAAAAGGCTGCTTTCTCAAAGCTGTATAGCATTTTTGTTTTTGTTTTTTTTTGTTTCTTTTCTATTTATTCATTTGTTTTTCGTTACTTGTAATGCATCAGTGCCATTTTGAGAGTAGCTCTGTATGATTGATAGGGTATTTCCAATAACACCTGCATATGAAGCATCATGTTGTAAGTCTTATAGGCATAGAAAGAACAGCAAAACTCTAATTGGCACCAGAATTTCCATCACTAGGCAATGAGGCTGTTCAGTGAAATACCACATGACTGTATTTGTTAGCAATAGCAGTTTTGTTAATACTGGTTGCTGTCATTAGGCCAGGACCATACCATGCCATTAATCCAGGACCTCACACTTCTGCCTTGATGCGCTGGTCTTCAATTCTCCCATCTGTCTGTCTATCCCCATTTCTGCCTTTTTGGCCAACGTGCATTCCACTCTACTGTCTTGCACTCTGCTTGCACCCCTTCCACCCTGGACCCCACTGCTCTGTACTCCTTCTTGCACCCTTGCTGCCCCCTACTGACCTTCTCTGTTTTCTTCCTCCTGCTACTGATCAGGCAAGCCTGGCCTGGCCCTTCGTGAGGGAGCTGCTGGCTGCATGAGGCGACTTCCCAAGTTGTGTGTGGCCAAGGCCTCATGGCCGGTAACTGCTTCATGAAGGGCCAAACCAGGCAAGACTCATCAGCAGTGGGAGGAAGAAGATAGCAAAAGTCAGTTGGAGGCAGCAGGGGTGTGGAAGAGCAGGGCAGTGGGTGCAGCTGGGACAGCAAAGTGGCTAAAATGGCAGAGATGGGGGTGGGGGGGAATGAAGATAGCCATATGAGGGAAGTTGAAGTACATCTTGCATTGGTAAATGTGGACAGGCTGCTCAGCATCTGCATTTTATCATGTGACTGGGGGGGAATTGCAATGCCTATAACTTCAAGGATCATGAATACATATTTGTTCAGTACCGTCGCAGTTTCAAACAGTTCTTGAACAAGTGGTTGTTAAGTGAGGACTTCATGTAGAGGAGAATTCAGAATAGCTTTACATATGTTTTCTTGGTTATGAATATTGTATTTACTGCTTTCTCTTCTTCTTCCTCTTTCATAAATGATATTCAGATGAAGTGTTTAACATTTAAAAAAATCCAAACAAACAATGAAGATCCATAATGCTTGATTTTTTTATGGTGGGGAAATTAGCTAGCTACAAATAATTGCTCGAAATAGCAACATAACTCTAAGTATCAGGAAATACTTTGCTGCAGTGCAATCTAGTAAGTACAAAGCCTTTTTGGAAGCCAAAGCACTGATCAGTAATGAAGATAAAGCACTGCTTTTTATTGAGACCAAGGGGTTTTCTTGGTGCATTGAATCCATTATCTTTGTTCTTGCAGCTGTCCCATTTCCTCCAAGCCATCGGCTCACAGCGAAGGAAGTGTTTGACAATGATGGAAAACCCCGAGTGGATATCCTAAAGGCACACCTTATGAAGGAAGGAAGGCTGGAAGAAAGTGTTGCTTTGAGAATAATAACAGAGGGTGCTTCGATTCTGCGCCAGGAAAAAAATTTGCTGGATATAGATGCCCCAGTTACTGGTGAGTACAAATAAACACTGAAGCGGTAACAGGAAATCTCCTCTATCATGATTATAGAATGTTTGGTTTAGGGCATAATAAGCCATTACAAAAATGTTGCTTCACTCCATGCTATAATGCACAAACTGTAGCAGAATGTCTCATATATTATGGTAATCAGTCTTTGAGGGATTGGAATCTGCACCTCAGTGTTCTGATTGTTGGTCAAGCTGTAGTAGACTTTCCTGTCACACTGAAATTATCAGAAAGGGTAGGACCTTTACTCTTGATTTGGGGGCAGGTTCTAAAGAGCAAAGATGAGAACAAAGGTTTTCACCTTAATTTTAATCTTTAATCAAAATAGAGCTGGAAGGGACCTTGGAGATCTTCTAGTCCAGCCCCCTGCTCAAGCAGGAGATCCCATAACATTTTAGACAGATGATTGTCCAGTCTTTTCTTAAAAACCTCCAGTGATGAAGTACCCACAACTTCTGAGGGCAAGATGTTCCACTGGTTAATTGTTCTCACAGTTAGGAAGTTTCTCCTTAATTCCAGGTTCTTTCTCTCCTTGATTAGTTTCCATCTGTTGTTTCTTGTTCTTGCCTTCTGGTGTTTTCAAAAATAAGTGGACCTCCTCTTCTTTGTGGCAGATCTTCAAATACTGATATGGTGCTATCATTTTACCCCTAGTCCTTTTCTCTAGATTAGCCAATATCCAATTCTTGCAACCATTCTTCATATGTTTCTGTCTCCAGGCTTTTAATCATCTTAATTGTTCTTCTTTGCACTTTTTTTTATACAACATCTTTTTTGTAATGTGACCAAAACTGGATACAGTATTCCAGGTGTGGTCTTACTAAGGATTTATAAAGCAATACTAATACTTCAGGAGATAACTCTTAAGACATACTGCTGAAGGGATTACATTTGGTAGCAGAATGCTTGACTGAGGTATGGGATAGAAAAGTTCAAAGGGCTACAGGATGGGCAAACGATCCTGAAGAAAGTCTACCCAAGTGACCATTAAGAAGTTAAGCTGACTTGATGACATAAGTGTGTAGAAATGGGAAGAGTTGCAACCAAAAGTTTTTCTGGCTCCATTTCCATCGATGGTTGGGGCCTGAAAATGCTGCCCCTAAAATCAGAAATTCTGCTAACCAAATTTAGGTTGAGTGCTGCCCTAGTATTGGATAGCCACAGACAAGTCTGCTGGCGGCAGAATTATAGCCTTTTGTGCATTATATTCTTCATTTTATGTTAGTGCTTTTTAACTAATTTTGAGTGGAACAGAAAGGTCTTTGTTGCATACAGAAAGGTCTGTTCTACAGTAGTAAATTGAGAAGTGAAGGAATGCTAGTATATTTGGATTGATTAATTAGGATCCAATACATCTTAAGTCAGGATTTTGTTTTCAGCAGAGGCTCATAAATGAATCTTGCCTAATAAAGCTCTATTTATCTAATAATGTAAGATTTATTGAAGCTGTTTTTTTTAGATGAAATGCTGAAAAAAAAAGCATGGTGATCTGTAATTAATTAGGATTGAATGAAGTGATTTATTTGTAACTTTGACATCTCGTCTTTTCCCATCTTAGTCAAGGGAAAATGTAATGGGTGTCTTCCTTCAAATTGTTGTAGTGGAAAATTTCCATTGCTTCCTATGGGAAAATACTATCTCCAATTGTGGCTTTATCCTGTTCTAGAATTCATGTACCTTGGCTTAATCCCTGTCTTATGCCTTCCTATCATTTTCAGTAATCCCAAGGTGCTGCAACTAGTGTACATTTGGGGATTGAATCTTGCATTAATAATCCCCAACTGTCCCAGGAAGACTTAGTTAACCATCAACAAGAGCCTTCTAGTCTCTTAGAGTCTTCCAGTCTCTTTAGACATGCTGAACCAAGGGGATTCAATCACCTGCTTTCAACTGTTTACAGTTATATCTCTGGAGGTGAGCAAGATCAGCTGGGCAGCTTAGAATGCAGCTATAATCCCTACAGATCATTGACATTCTACAAAGCTTCCACTGTGCTCGTATGCAAATTAATGCAAAATTTCTACAGAATTAAATGTAATCTAAGACACAAATAGTCCTTGTTTAATGATGATTTCTATCACTACATGATATGGTTGTAAAACACAATGTCACATGACTGCATCACTAAGCAATGGCAACCCAACACTCCCCACTGCTGTTGTTAAGTAAGGATCATAGGTCATTAAGTGAGACCAGGGCAGCTTTGTAAACAGGCTGTTAGGGAAGTGAGGCAAATGTGCAGCCTGAGCATGCCTGAGCAGGGGGAGGATATGCAAGTGTGTGAGAGAGATACTATTGATCTTGCTGAGTTTCTTGTAGCCTTTGAAAGCATCAACCATGGACCATCTGCAAGAGTTGGAACCATTGTTTGGCAGCGATTCTGTCCTTCCTGAGTTACTGGTTTCAGTCAGCATATATGAGGAAGAAGAGGCCAAGTCTCAGAGCCCTTGAATATGGGGGGTGCCACAGTGCTCGGTCTCTCCCCCTCAGCTCTTAGTGTATTTAAGATCTCTGAATCTTAAAGATGAAGAAGTAGAGCCTGTCTTGTACTGACACAAAATCCCTTTTTTGCCTGAGAAGCGACTAGAATTCAGGATCTCCTGGTTTCTAGTCTAACCACAGTACCAAATTAGCTTTACACTTTTTAATTTTTTAAAAAAATTATGCACTTTTTTTCTTTTTACAGGCATAAATAAAAGTAACCTGACTCCCAGAGTTTGAGGTCTGTTAAAGGAGAGTAAGAGATCAAAGTATCAGTATGATATAGTGGAGGTTTATTGTAAGATTTGGCCAATAGTATCCTTTTCTTTCTTTGTGAAAATGACACATTTTTGTCAGTAAATTTTTGTCTCTCTATAAAAAGTAAAGGTAAAAGTTTCCTCTGTCCTGTCATGTCCGACTCTAAGGGATGGTGCTCATCTCTGTTTCCTAGCTGAGGGAGCCAGTGTTGTCTGAAGATGCTTCCGTGGTCATGTGGCCAGCATATAGCAATAAATACAAAAGGCTAATGAAATGAAAGTTAAAAACACATAATTTTTGTAATGGAGAGCCACAGAGTTCTTCCGGTAGCGGGACAATGATCGGATGATCTAAGGAAGCGGTACCAGTTTACATGATAAAGGACTGAGAAAACGGACAAACAATATTGAAAAAAAGCAATAAATTCACTTATTCTGCTTCATTGCTCTTCTAAAGCAGACATGCCCATTAACCAGTCATTGTGCCTTAATTCTGTGAGCTTTACTAGCTATCATTCCTTAATCCAGGGGATGCTTACATCATAACAGCTGTTCCTCTCCAGCTGCTTATTCCCTAGATGCATTGACCTCTGCTCCCTCACAACAGACAGCTGAGATTCTTCAGTTTTCTACAAGTTCTGATTTTGCAAGGCCTCACTAGCTCCTCATCAGAAGACTGTTTAGCTGCCCCAACTTACGCAACAGTTCTTTTAAATTGTTTTATTTATACTCAGCAAAAATCCAAAATACAATGCACTAAATAGTTAAAGATTTTTAAAAAGGGAGCGGAGGAGGACAAAAGATGACTATTTTAAAAAATATTTGAATTTTCATGATCCATTTTTCAGGAGAAGATGCTATTTTTTAATGTTTTCATTTTTTTTCTAACATGATTTATAACTTCTGACTTAAATCTCAAAATGAAATAGTATCCATAAGTGCAGGAAAGTAATACTAATTAGATTTTTTGACAGTGTTCAGAATATATGTAAGCTTCCAGTTTAATATATAGAACGTATAGCTCTGCAGATTTGCTTAATATTTTATATGGCTCGGTACATATGTGCTTTTATTCTTTGTTCTATCATGATTAGTGAGTGGCTTCCATTGTTTTATTGTAAATTAGTATTTTAAATTAAGGAAATGAGCATTTTTACAAGTACTTGTTGGACCTATGCAAGAATTCTATTGAAGCAGATGACTTTCTGGGTGAGAATTTTGAATTTTTTTATCAGCAGCTGTTTGAATGTTACTGTGAGCCAGAAGAAAAACGTGAAAAGGAGACTTTTTATAACAAATTAAGAATTAAGCCCATGTGCTTAGGGTTCACCAAGAAATTAAAACTAGCAACTGAAAATAATAACAATCTCAAAACAACTGGAACAGGACTTGAACATCATCAAAATTGACAAATTCACCTTCTGTCAATTGCAAAAAGGTGGATTTACTAGGGACAGATTATATCCTGTGACAGTAATTGTAATACCATCAAACAACAGACTCAGCCTATCCCAGGTTGGTTGAAGAAAAAGATGGAGGGGTTAATTCTGGCAGCACAAGACCAAGCCTTAAGAACATATGCATATAAAGCCAGAATAGAAGGCATTATGTGACTTTTAGGAACTGACAAAATGTGCATACGAACATACAAAACCATATTATTTTGCTTTTTTCATATTGTTCCATTTACTTCAAAATGAATTGAAACTTTAGCCCTGCTCCAAATGTTTGGATATCTTAGAGAATTGTCCTCTCATATCTTCTTTCCCAGGATTTAGGTTAACTTCAGCAGTTCTTCATGTGGTGGAATTAAGCTGTTTAGGTTAGATAAGAGAAGCTATTTTCCAATAAAATCTTGTGTGGCTCACTTGGATCTCAAGTGCTTACTTGGATCTTGTTTCTTCATTGGTTAAGCAATTACTTCTGTCCCAGGCGTGTTTGCTGTTAATTTTTTGTCTTAAATATACTTGTTATACTAAGTATACAAGTTTTTATATTCATTATTTTAATTTTTTTCTCTTTTCTTTATTTATATGCTGTTTTTACTGTTCTACTGTTTTAATATTTTAAGTTATTTGCAATCTGTCCAGAGGTCTCTGATTACTAGGTGGCATTTAAATTACAGTAAATGTTGCAATTAACAGAGCTTCTATTGTGTCCCCTATGAAATTGCCCAATTGTTAAGCTTATCTTTGAAGAAGCTCTCCTCCATCTTTCCATAACGTCAGACAGGCCCATGGCTGACCTTTTTGTTTTAGATGGTTTAACTATGCTCA